AGTCTTTAATGTTCCGTTCAACCAAAACCATTCTGTGATTCCAGTGGCTGAGCCTGCTGCCTCCATGGGGCTTCTAAGCCTAGGAAGTAACGGATAGCTACAGGAATTCACAATTCTTGAGAAGTGTTTTTCTGGGTTTTTTTGGTGGGTTGTTCTTGGTTGGTTGGTTGGTTTTTGGTTTTGTGTGTTTTGTGTTTTTTGGTGTTTGGGTTTTTGGTGGTTTTGTTTTGGTTTTTTTATTTTAAACTGGGTATTTAATAAGGGTTGATTACTACCATAGCTACCAGAAGTAAAAAATTACCGAGCAAAACAGTTAAGAAAAATGTCTAAAGAAGGTTGTTCCACTGCCACTGGAAACGTGGAAAGATTCTTAAAGTTATTTTTGGGTATATATCCATTCTTAATGTTAAAAAGTGGTAAAAACTGACTGACTGACTGGAATAATTGACTCTATTAAACATTCAAACCAAGTGATTTGCAAGTCTAGATTCTTATGCTAAAATAATTAATAGAATATTTTTCTTCTTTTCACACTTTTTGTCCTGTTAACTTAATGAGAAGTCAGAGTTCTTGCGATAACTTCAGAAAGAATCCTCATGTATAATTTGCTGTGAATGTTTCCATTTCACCACCATAGACATACCCTTGTTTAAGAAAGTTAGGTTGATAATTGTGTTTGGAGATCTGTGTGTCAAGTTTCACATAAGTTTATTTAAGTTTTTAAACACTTGAGATTTGTTCCTAATGTCTCTAAACAACTATTTCTTAATTTTAAATACTCCTTTATTTCCTACTTGATGAATTGACATTTAACCGTTATTCATGTATGAAATAAGCATCTTTTAAATTTCCTTTGGCTGCCATATTAGAATGATTTATATTTTTTAATTCTATTTTTAGTTAACAACATTGATAGCATGCCAGCCTTGTTTCGATATTTAAATATGTTTTAAATACTTCTGTATTATATGCTCTATCAAGTATTGGCAGTGTTTCGTTCTTTCTCCTGCCTTATTAATGTAGTGGGGTTTTCAATGTTTGTGGGGTTTTTGTTGTTTTATTTGTTGGTTTGGTTTTTTAACTGTTGAAGCAAGTTGACTTCATGATCAGTCCCTGTGAATTAAAAGAACAATGTAGGAAATTACATAATCACAACTAATAAAGAATTGCTACTGTAAGTCTTGACAACTGGGATGTTACATGGGAGTTTATGATTATTTTCACCCCTACTTTTTAGGGATTGTTTTATGAAGGGAAGACCATTTCATCTATTTAGACTGCTGCTTCAGTACCATGAGCCTGAACTCTGCTCCTTTCTTGATACTAAGAAGATGACTCCAGACTCATATGCACTCAACTGGGTAATAAAGTGAAAGTAGGGAAACATAATGAAAATAAATTTCTGTTAAAATTTAAGGACATGTTGCCAGTTTATGGAAGAGTAGTACAAGAGTTTAGAACTGCATATATTGAAATAAATTGCGTGTTTTAATATAGTGTGGGCATTTTGTCTCTTTAACATAAGGTATGAGATCTTGTTAACATCACATTTTCATTGTACTGGATGTTAATTGAGCCACTGATGTTAGGAACTACTTGGAATAAGCAAGAATGAGAGCAACTGACATAAAAAGTAAGAAGCCATGAAGTTAGTTTTTATAGTGGGCAACTGTATGGTTGTAGATATGGTTAAACATCAGCCTGACAGTTCTTTTAAAGTCAAATTACTCATCATTTTTAAAACCTCCATGCTAATAGCTATATTTGACTGCCTCATACAGTGATATGCCTTTTAGAATTTAGACACACATATTTTACATTTCTTCAAGAATTGGTCATTTCATCCTCACCTTAACTTCAAAACTGCCTTGAGTTGAAGGTAGTTACAAAGATGCTTACCTCAATCCTTTTTTTTAATAAAGTTTGTGTAGCAGGACTACAAATATAAACCAGCAAAATTCAGATATTTCAATGCTACTTAGTATATGCAGTACAAAAGCATGATACAGTGCTTGCAGAGGCAAAGTCTGTAAATTAATAAAGAAGACTTTATGACCCATGAACTCTTCTAGGCTATTCTTTCATACCCATTGGCTTTGTAAAATTATTTGTAACTCCATGTACTTCCAGTTAAAGAAATAAGGCTGAAATGAATTATTGGACTGCAGGGTCTGTATTTGTTGGGTGTTTTTAAAAGATTTTTTTTTTTAGGCTGCATTTTAATATAAAAATGTGTCCAGGAAGAATTTCCATATTCTCAAAATCTGCCTTTTGCCAATCATTAGCCTTCAAAAGAGGAGTCTGATCTTTTGTTACTACTGAATCTCCCTTGTTTTTACATATATTTTCCCTTAGTAAACACAAACCTCTTTTAAGATGTTCGTTAAAAGTTTAGTGATTCATTAGGAAAAAAATCTTCCCTTTGAAAGGAGGTAGGGACATTGGCTAGCATAGCTGCCAGTCGTCAATGTCATGCTTTTTGGTGTACAATCTTAGGAAAAAATCTTAAGCCTCACTTGATATCATGAGATTATATTAAAATTCCTTGTTTAATCTGTCAAAAACTGTAGTCTATATAGAGGTATTTCTAATGTGTAAAAATCCGTAAGCAACATTCAGAGACCTGTCGTCTCGTTGGTCAGGGACATTTTGTCTTCAGTAGTATTTGACTCGGAATTGAATAGATCTTCTTACCTTTTGTTATAGAAGTATACTGGGAAGTGTTGAAATACTTCACGATAGTGTTTAAAAACAGATACAGAGTTTTTGGAAGCTGTAGCTCTGTTGATACAGCATTTGTGTGCATCAGCAAGTTCAGTAAGACCCCGGTGAAGCCAGCTGGTATGCATTTGAGTTAGGTGTGATTGCAAATATTATCTGGAATGTATGAAAAGAAGTTCCTACCTTTTCTTTTATATGCTTTGAACTTTGTGTATCAAAGAGGATGTATTGTTAAATGGGAACAGGCAAACAGTTTGCTAAATGGCTGTGAAAATTTTCTGTTGCTTGCAAATGTTCAATTACTCAGCCATAAAGCATCATAATGTAATGTTAAGTAAGTGACATTGTCAAATTAATGTGCAACTGTGTTCAATTAGCTTGGTTCTACTGTGAAAAATAAAAAGAATGTTGTTTACAGGTTCCTTTCAAAGTCCTATTTGCTAAGCTAGTTAAGTAAGTATATTCTCTTATTATGTCTTGGTATAATTGGTATTTAGCAGTGGCTATGAGCTGAACAGTATTGCAACCTGTTTGTGTTATCTTGGGTTGAGTTTGCAAGGCTGACAATGTACAGCTGTTTGCCTTTACACTAGGCATATTTATTCACAGGTAATCTGTAGCATTACTGCACTGTTTCCATAAAAAAATTTTTTGAGGGTAGAACCATCCTTCATTCCTGGTGCAAATATATGTTTTAACATAATTTTGTTGTTTTCATTTTCTTTTAGATATCTTGTATCTCTGTTAAAAATGTTATCCTGATAAGATTGTTCCTAGTTATTGCTTTTTCTCATACTATTTTCCAAATTTTTAGCTTGGAAGCCTCTTCTCGTATTACTGTTCAGCTGAAGTCACTCAGGCAATATGGGATGGATATCTACAACAAGCAGATCCATTCTTTATTTATTTCTTAATGTTAATCATCCTTGTCAATGCAAAGTAAGTGTATAATTAATTCTTTGGAACCTTCCTTGCTCCCACAGTTTTAATCTACTATTGTTTCATTTTGGTTTCACTGACTTTATGCTTGTGACTTCACTATTTTCAGAGACGTTATCTTAGCACAAGAATCAGATAAAGAAGAAATTATAAGTAAGTACTTCTCTTATATAGCTGCTAGTGAAATATTTACCATATAGTATAGTTGCCATTGATTATTATTTTTAATTACTAAATAACTGAGTTATTTCATTATTTCCTTGTGATTCTCATTAATGAATCCCTTCACCCACTAATTCCTTTCTTACTATTCTTTTGCTATATCACATTTGCCCTGTCCTTAACGTTCTTTTCTTGTGTTTCCTTTTAGCACTCTCACACCTAGTTTTATACTTTGGTTTGGAGTACTTGAAACAATCACCATGTTTCTAAGCTCAAAGCAGCAGCTTTCAAATCCTTCTTTAAATCTACTGCACTTGTTGCATTTTCCAGATTATCTTTGTATGCTATGCACTTGATTTGAGCCTAATTCATTGTTCTTGTCTTCTGTTTTTATAGAAATTACACTAAATTTCTTGTGAGCTATTTCACCAGGCCTTTGGGTGTTTTGGTTTGGTTTGGGTTTTTTTTACCTGGCATAATACAATACAATTAATAATCTCCTAGTAGCTAAAAATGAGGGTGGTTGGAATTTTGCATCTTTGACATATACTGCAGAACTGCACCCTTGTACCATCCTGGATGTATAATAGTACTACTGATTAAGTACTCTGTTTTGGAGGAGTCTCTTGATCAGCCCTCTTTAGAAAAGGCTGCTGACTTAGTATTACAACTGAAAGCTAAAACTACACAGAGGTAAGAGTGTAGTAAAAAATAATTTGTATAGAAGCTTTGAACTAGCAAATAGCATAGGTTTCTTATGGAAAAGGAGTATTTCCTGTATCTTGTCTTTCCGCCTGGAGAGTGAATCAACATCCATGTTTAATTAATAAATTCAACTGTATTGTGCCTTGTTAAAAATAAGTTACTTTATAATGTGAAAAAGTATATGGTGCTTCTTTTCTACATCTGAAATAATGGTGCATTTATGTTGTTTTTATAACTCAGAATTCTTAGAATCTTCACCAGCCAATCTCGAATTAGAAGATATAGAAGATCTCTTCTCTTTGGCACAGTATTACTGTAGCAAAACTCCAGCTTCTTTCAGGAAGGTAATAACAAAGTAATTTTGAAATTCTCAGCTTTTTGGTGACTGTTTAAGCTCCTGCTGACAGTAACTTTGAATATTTCATTGTGATGGGTTTTTTTAAAACAATTTTTTCATGTTGTTACTCTGGTGGTATTTACTGTTAGGATCTTTAAAAGGTTAGAAGCTGAAGTGAAACATGTTAGAGAAAAGCTTCCCTGCAATATTCTCACTTCATGGCTGATGACTTTGTTTTGCAAACCAGGTTCTTGTAATGTCTGATGAAGCAGAAATGCCATACTGACTCCATTGCATTGTAGTAGGCTGCACAGCAGTCCTAGCTGTACTTGTGACAGCAAAGAGGAAAAAGCCGCTTACTAGAGAGAAAGCTGTTATCACCTGCACTGTTCTTGCAGCAATTCTTTACTCAAGATATCTGACTTCAGTGAATTCATGAAATAAAAGTAATTGGTGGTCATTGCCTTTGGCTTGTATGTACCTTCTCTTCTATGTAGACAGGTATGCGACTTTTGAGGGAAGGGGACAGACACACCCCCCAAAACCAACCAAAAAACAGAGGTATTTCATCATATTGGTATGGTCAGAATGGTGAACAAGTGTGTTTGTAATGAAAGTTCAGGCCTTGCCGTGATTTTCAGAAAGAATTTCAGTCGATAAAAAATTTGATGACTATGTGGACAAGATACGCATGTATTAGGCTTAATAATTGTGACATGGTGGATATAATTTTACTTTAAGCCTTTGCATCTAAAGAAAATGGCTTCAGTTGACTCTTTTTTTTTCTTCTTGCCTTACTAGGACAACCACAGTCTTTTCGGCAGCAGCTTGCTGGGCCTCAAGGATGATGACACAGACTTGAGCCAGGCTCTCTGTCTAGCAGTTTCTGTGCCTGAGATTCTTCAAGCAAATCAGCAACAAGGAGTCAGTATACTGAATTACTCTTCTTCCCCTGCTCACCCTCCCAGAATTTTATAGAAAAGGAAAAGAATCACTTACTGCTTTGTGTATCACAAATATTTTAAGTGCTAACAGCACAGCTGAATATTTGCTATTTCAGTAAAAAGTATTCTTGTCTTGAAGTCGTCTACCTTGTAAATGATGTGCTGACTGCAATGAGTTTGTGCTGTAGCTGTAGTTGCTATAGCACAGGTGAGTTTAATACAGCTGATTTGAATCTGAGGAGTGGGAGCTTAAAGTAATATCTTACTAATTTGAATTCCGTTCCAAATGTAACTATTGTAGAGGAAGATTTAAAACCTACTACTCAGTACCTTTGAGAAGAATGCCATTATGAAATACCTGTCTTTTGTCAATGAAAGGTTTAAACAAACAAAAAAAATTGATTGAAGCTATTTCTGTAGTAGTTAATTGCAGACGTACTTAGATGCGGGGACTTGACTTAGAGTATTTAAGACTAATAAAGAGATAGTAGTGTTAGCTGGGTTACAGTGTTTCTTATTTACTACTGGCTTTTTGTAGCCCTTTCCATGTCCCAGTTTCATCATGCATACTTTTTTTTTCCCTAGTCAAAGTAAAGTTAAGCACCTGTTTATATCCTGTTTAAATTGGTGGGATATAAAGCTATCCTTATGTGCTGTGCTGAGTAGTAATGGGCTGTTGGATTGGGACTTCAAAGTTGTCCCTTCTGATGTCTTGTTGATGTGTGCCCTGATACCCTCTATGTTTCTTCTCAGCAGAGGTAAATAACTACACTGTGTGTATTGCACTTGGGTGACCCTCTCCAATGCACAAGTTGATGTATTAATGGGAGATAACTATTAGAATACTGTTGGTGGTCTGGTAACTGTAGAAGTTCAGATTAATCAAATGAAATAAGATTTTCCAATAGCTGTTAGCCCCTTTGAGGGGTCCCTGTAGTATTGGAATTAGTATTAAAATATATTTGATTTACTTACTTTCCTATCAATAATTACATGATTTTAAAATTTTGTAACAGGCAAAATCTTTTTCTTTCAGGAAGGAGTAAGGTTCTTTGTAGTGGATTGTCGTCCTGCAGAGCAATACAATGCTGGGCATTTATCAACAGCATTTCATTTAGACTCAGATTTGGTTCGTATCCTTTTTGTTTCTTTACTGATTTTTGAATCTGAAGTTAAATAGGAGAGAGAAATGTCTGTTTTGAAAAATAAATTATCCTTAGTTTAGACTCTAGTCTGTGGATTGCAGTGTCTAGCTGTGCGATGATGTTTCAAAAGTTAGCTTCTCTACAGGAGATTGGTTAAACCATCATTTTACTGAGAAGCTTAGTTCTTAATTGCATTAGAATTTGAGATTCTAGACTTCCTGTTCCTTGGTTAGAACTGGAAACCCATACAGGCTAAAGACTAGACATTGGTTGGAGGAGAAATCTCTTTTTAGCATCATAATTTCTAATGAAAGGTGTCATTAATTTTATCAAGTAGCATTTTTTTCTTTTCTTTTTTTTCCCTAGCCAATCTTACTACAGACTGCTTGTAAGGAGCATACGTTTTGAAAAGGATTTGGTTGCTCCTTTAAAATTTTTGCAGTGCAGTATGAGAGAGAGAGTGCATTAATTTGGGGACTGAGATGTAGTACAGATTAGTTACTTCATTAAAGATTTCACTGTAGTTTCGATTTGATTATAAATTCCTAACTGAACATTCAATCATATTTTTCCTCTGTCCTTTTTTACCCAAAATCACTTATACTTCAGCTGGCTTCCAGTGTATTCTTCACTTCTAGATTAACCCTCTACTATTTCACTTCAAGCAGTCTATGGAAGCTGCATGAAATTATTTCTATTTATATAGCCCATAAAAGGCTTTTTACCTTTCTTAGTTAAGCAGCTCAGTCCTGTATGTATTATCTTTACATCTCTAATTAAGGTGATGTCTTATTCAGTGTTACTTGCACAAATGTTTAACAGAGAAAAGGAGGCTGAGAGAAGACCTTATTTTGCACAAATGTATAAGAGAGAAAAGGAGGCTGAGAGAAGACCTTATCACTCTCTACAGCTACCAGAAAGGAGGTTGTAGCGAGGTGGGAGGTCCGTCTCTTCTCCCAGGTAGCAAGTGATAGGGCAAGAGGAAGCGTCCTCAAGTTGCACCAGAGGAGGTTTAGATTGGCTATTAGGAAAAGTTTCTTCACCGAAAGGGTTGTCAAGCATTGGAACAGGCTGCCCAGAGAAGTGGTTGAGTCACCATCCCTGGAGGCATTGAGAAGATGTGTAGATGTGGCACTTAGGGACATGGCTTAGTGGTGGAGAGTTCTTTACATAACATGAGGTCTAAGTCAGGCTGTCTTGTGTGTGTGTCTGTGTGTCTTGTGCAGTGCTGATGTTGCCTTGTTTGTGCTCAACAAATTATAACCGTTTTCAAAGTTTGTATCTTTTCACAAGTTGTGTTACAATATGTTGATGTTAAACAGCACTTGTTTGTTTGTTCCACAGATGCTTCAAAACCCATCAGAATTTGCACAGTCTGTAAAATCGCTATTAGAAGCACAAAAACAATCTATTGAGTCTGGCTCCATAGCTGGTGGGGAACACCTCTGCTTCATGGGAAGTGGCAGGGAAGAAGAAGACATGTATATGAACATGGTGCTAGCACACTTCTTACAGGTAGGACTAAACTGCCGTTGATTGTAATAGCTGAAATAAAGCATGTCTGCACATATCATTGATACTAAATGGCAAAATATTTTCCCCTTAAAATCTTAAGTGTTTTTTACATTACTAAAGGGTACAGTTTTTATTAAATTAACCCGTGTTTCATTACTGTGCTTGCAAAAGTCATTCCACAGGTTTTTGCTTCAACCAAAAGTGTCTTTTCTGTTGCAGAAAAATAAGGAGTATGTAAGCATTGCCAAAGGAGGATTTATGGGTAAGCTTATTAATAATGAGTTTTGGCTTAATAGAACTTGATATCTTAACACTGTTGATATTTGTATTGGGCTTTGGCTAGAATTCAGCTAGATGAATAGCAAATAGGTCTCATTTGTCAGGTTTTTGTTTTGTGCAAGTCAGCACTGTGCACTTGCAGATTTGTGGTTGACTGTTATGACTTACCCTCATTTCTTCTACTTGTCATTCTTGATGTTCAGCCTCTATAGATTGCTGATCCATATGAAGAGGCTGCTTCGTAATTACTATTAATTGTTGTTGTTGTGTTTTCTTAAATCATCAGTTCATAAATCTGCAGTTTGTGCTGCTGGAAATAATCAGGCTCTACAACAGTGGAGAGATCTGTGCTACAATATGAGTCTAGAGGCATTACTAATGTGCAGTGTCATAACAACTATCTTTAGGATCAAAGCAGTGCTTTATTTTTAGTTGCTACTGTATTTTAACTGTTTTCTTTACTAAAATAAAGATTATCCTAATGCCTTTGTACTACTGAAAGAAAAGCCAGGGATGATTTAGCGGTATCTAAATTTATCTGTTTTATTAAATCATGTGGAGCAAAAATTGGTACTGATGAGTCTTGGATAGAAAGTATTTTCATCAACAGATTAATTCCAGTGTAGTTCTGAATGTTTTTGAATGGCCTTTTAACAGCCCTCCAGCAGCACTTAGCAGATATCAACGTGGAAGGACCAGAAAATGGGTATGGCCACTGGATTGCTAGTACCTCAGGCTCAAGAAGTAGCATAAACTCCTCTGGTGATGTAAGTGAATCTTAAGCTCAAGTGGTATAGTGGGGTGGGAGCCCCAGGTGTACTGAATTTTTTTCTTCATATTCCTCATTCTGTTCTGTGAAATGCATTACTGCAAGTCATGATTGGTTTTGGTTGTGTGTTTAATTTCAAACTATATTCACTGTCTAGCTGGAGGCAACATAAACATTTTTATCCTCTTGAGAGGAAGAGATTGTAGAGAGAACTTGCTGTAGTTGTTCTCCAGCAGAATATATGTAATGGACAATTCTTTTCCTGGCTCTTCTTCACTCAGAATAAATTACTATAAAACTGGCATACAGTTTCATGGGAAAGCTCAAAATTGTCTCTTCTCTACATCTGCTTTGTTGTACATAAAATTTGGCTTTTAATTTGGATACAATTTATCATTCATAGAATTCCTTCCACTCTAGATTTTCATAGCAGAGTACTCAGGAGTCAGATTTGTTAAGCTTGCTTTATTGGATCATCTTTACCTCAGACAGGTATCATTGCTGTTGTTTGATAGAACTCTAAAAGAATACTTAATGCTGTAATTAATCTTCTACTAAGTACCAAAAAGTGGATTACTATTTTGGAGTCTATTTCCTTTCTTAACAAACTAGAGATGAAATAACATTATTTTTATATAATTAATCCTGAGAGGAGTTACTTTTACAGGGTGATTCTCCTAATGGTTCAAGTGATGGAAAAGGAGTAAAGTCCCTGGTGAATAAAATGACGGTTGCTTTGAAGACTAAATCTGTGAATGTGAAAGAAAAAGTTATTAGTTTTATTGAAAATACATCTACTCCAGTGGACAGGTGCGTCATTTATATCTCACTGTGAGTTAGCAGTGAGGAATGACTTCCTATTTCAGGTGGCTATTGTGTAAATGTGAAGACTGTACTAGTTAGGAGAAAACTTATCTTCCAGTTTCAGCTTCTAGATTTCCTACCCCTACCCTCCTCACAATTTTGTCATGGCACAGTAAGCCTACTGTGCTGTCTTTGTATTGCAAGGCCGGTGTGAGCAGACTTTTCTCTTGAATGTTTACCTAGAACTTGTCACTGCATGGCTAGTTTGACTTCTTATAATGTGTCGGTTCTGTATTCAGTCTAAAAGTCAAGAATGATTTCACTTTTATTTCCGTTCCTCCCCATCCTGACTCTAATGGAATGGGTGAACAACAGAAGGATTCTGGATGGATTTTTTTTGTTTGGTTGATTTTGTTCTGTTTTGGTGTTTTTTGTTTGAGTGTTTTGGGGTTTTTTTACTGCCTCATCTTGTCAAGTTGAGGGTAACTTTTTTGAAGATCTTGATTTTTCAAGTCTTGATGTAAAGCTGCTTTTCAAACCCAGAATCCACTCTTGTTCATTTTTTTTGTATCTTCAAGTAGAGCTGGGAACGTGAATGTGCAAACATGTTTAAAGGCACTCTCAAAGTTGGAAGTCACCATTCCAAATACTTATCTTAACTAGATAAAAGAATAACATCTTTTGTCTGTCAAAGCTTTAATTGAAAAGCCTGTTTTAAAGTTCTTTAAAATGCATCCTTTGGAGTTGTGTGTTGTTGAGATATTGGTATTGAAGAATCTTACAGAGCTAGTGTTTGCTTGATAGCAGAATTTAAATTATGTGCCAAACAAACAGTAGTTTTTAGTAGTCTTGTACCTAATCAAAACGTACAGATTGTTCCTTCTTTTTATGTTGAAAAAAAAATTTTTTAAATTATTATTATTATTTCACAATTAGAGGAAAAAAAATCTTATATAGCACTTGGTAGTAGCTTTTGTTGTGTGACAAATTCAAGTAAGACTTATATGTAAGCCATACATAGCATGAAAAATGCATCTTTTAGTAGAATTTTGACAAATATTTCTCTTAACTCATGGCTAGTTGTCCTGAAGCATTGCTTTTATTTATAAGCATCCTCCTTGAAGATACATTGCTGATATAGAGCATTTTAATTATTTATCTAGATTTTTCCTTTAAACTTTTTTTTTTTTAATTCTTTTGTTCTATCCTCTGCCCCAATGTACTATAGAATACCTTTCAATATTCCCTGGCCAGACAGAGCAAGCCTGGAGCGGTAAGCTTGACAATTAAGCAGTCTGACTAAAACCACCTTTGTCGTATTTAGCATGACATCGCAGTATTTGTAAGCATTGGTTACACTGACAAAATTCCTTGCATATTTTTGTATTAATTTAGGGGTTTTGAATATATTAAAGCTATTGGTTTTTACAAGTACTGGTCAGGGGACTAGAAGAAGAAAAAAATGTATTGGCAGTGCTTTCTTCTCTTAGTTTTGGCTTTGTTATTTCTATTCTCTTCCTTACTATTGCTCTTAAGGGAGGGGGTTTTTTAACTTGTTGTTTCCTATATGCATTTTATTAGTGACTTGTACTAGTGAAAGACATCAGGAGCAATTACTGAACAAATTATGGCTTAAGGTTTTAACAAGAGAGACTAGAACTATGAAAAGGACTTGTTATAAGCTGTTCATAAAGCATCATCAGAGCTCAGATACAACAGGGAATCCATATGGAAATTCTGTCTGGAAAACTGAAATTTTTATGCTTCTCATGACATGGTGATAGAACATGCTGGTAGAAACAGAGGTGCTCATTACTGGGAAAATAA